ACGGAAAAGGATTTAGGAGTTAATATCGACAATGAGTTGAAATTTTCTAAGCATATTGAAGGTCAATTTAATAAAGCCATTGACTTTGACTGATCAGACGCTCTTTTGAGTTCCTAGATGCAGAAACGATGAAGCAGTTGTTTGTTGCCCGAACCTAGAGTTTAGAAACGTCATATGGTCACCGAAATTTGAAAAGGACAGAAATTTAGTAGAGAGTATTCAAAGACGCGCAACAAGAATAGGTAGTTCCGGGCTTGAAAGGCAAGTCCTATGAGGAAAGATTAATGATTATGAAGCCTCCAACTTCCAAGCCTCAGTTATTGACATCTACATGAACATGGGGACCTCTGACCTCTTTGAAGTATACAAGTATACTCATGAGTCATGACTTATAGTATACAAGGTCCCAGAAGGATTACTAGAATTTGAAACAAGAACCAACACCAAGGGCCACGGCTATAAACTAAAAAAAACAGCGTTGGAACACATCCATGCAACAACATTTCTTCTCGCTTCGAGTCACCGACATGTGGAACAGCCTCCCTGGCCTGATAGCATCGTTGACGCTCCGAGTATGAACTATGAACATCTTGAAAAACAGACTAGACGATTAGGAAGACGAAGCTATGCATAATGCAGGAGCATATGTTCAGTCTTGAAATGCCTAGCAAATTACGGACCAGGCAATAAGTCCAGCAGCTATCTCAATCAATCGTCAGCTATGGAAACAAGCATGGAAAACATCTGCCTTTAGGGCCGCAAATAGAGGTTTCCTGCCATTTCCGAAACCGCGAGATTTCCGCCAGATGAATTATCTCCTATCCAATTGTTAACAAAAGTGCACAATCAAGCCGCGAGATTCCAAATGTATTGAAAATTTGTCATGTTGGAGCTGCAAGATTTCAGAAACAAGTAGGAAAATTCCAATCCTGTATGGAAAGATTGGGTTTCAAAGGCCGGATCCCTTGTGAATCAAGTCACGAAAAGTTCAAGAATCGGCAACAGGCCATGGGCCTATTTCTTCAACGCCGACACTTCCATTCTAATTTCTAACCACAACGGGAATTGGGAAACGTTGTTGCTCAATAAATGACGTTTCCGCTCAAAGTGTTCAAATTCTGTTTATTCATACGACGAAAATTTGGTAACCTTTAGTAGCTTAGTCATAGTCACTCTCAGCACTGTTAAGTTAGCGGCTTCTGTTTCATCGAACTACCAACCAAGCTTGCATTCGCTGCTCATCTCACTCTCAGGATGCCGAACGTTCCAGTGCCGCGGCAAAGGACAACTTACTTACTTGGTTAAGATGAGGCGCGTCACCGACTGAAGTATTGGCGCCCCCATTCAGCATCTTCGTGATCTTTCGTTTTTCTTCCGTTCTGCTTCTGCGGAAAACGTCGCCTCACAGAAAGCATCGTTGGCAGCATAGCCGAAGCTTCTGGAAGGTTGACTGCATCGCCGAAGCTTCCGGAAGATTGGTAAATGGCATCGGCAAGATCTTCAAAGAAGTAAATTTGTCTGCTAATTCGTCTCCGAATATCTTTCAAATCTTTATCACTCTCTGCATAGTGGATTGCATACGGTTTTTTTTATAGTTTTTCATTTCTCGATGTGTCCTTAATGTGTCGGAATATACTCCGTTTACCCTAGTTGCGGTCAGAGTTCAGAACTTCAGACTGCATTAACACATGTTCAGCTTACAGTAAAGACAAATGTTATTGTTGCCATTAGACTGCTTCAGGGTAAAATTAGAGATGTGGGGTAACACGTGCACGGAGTTTTTAAATAAATTTACGGCTTGTAAATGGCTTTTTATGGCCAAGATATGGAATTCACGGCTTAAAAAAATTGAATCGTGGCTCAAAGAAACTGGCAAATAAATTTATTTTTACAGCTGGCAAATCCATAAAACCATGGCTCAAAAAATTCAGTTGCGGCTTCAGGTTTAAACTCTAAACATGATTTAGGGAAAAAATTAGATTCTCACCCAGGTCCCTGGACTGGCCTGCCAGGCCTGGACCCTGGACTACCAATTGTGCAACATTTAGGTAGGCAGCAAATTCACTAAAAAGTGGTAGTTATTGTAACCTTGAAGTCCTTGATAACTGCATTTACAGATTTAGATTAGCCTAGTTGGTAAATTGGTAAAGAAGGTACTATGGCTAAAAATACTAAGTGGTTTATGTCATGGCAGTGGTGTTTGCCTTAACAAAAAAAATTCATGCTTCCCCTGTTTTAGTAGTTAGTACTAGTTAGATTCTGAAATTAAAATCGATTTAAATACTCACATCACCCATCCAGAGCGCTCCTTCCCTTGCCATGACCATAGAATCGACTTCGCTGTGTTTGGTATTAAATTGAATTAGATTTGTTTTGATATTTCAGAACTCACAAGAAATCGGCAAATAAAGCTGTTTCGTTAACACATGGGGAGCGGAATCTGCGGAATACACGGAATCATAAACTTAGCGGACAACATCACCGCTGGCTCTGCCATCCAGGCACCTTTCGCCATGGTTGATATCGCTTAATCGCCTATCGGTCACTTTTGGGAAGAATTTTTATAAACACGTTTTCTACGCATAACTTTGTCGAATCAAAAATGATCTCCAGTAATTTAATAAACTATCTATTCTTTTACAACGAGCTCATGCAAGCGTTGCTAGAATCATTTATGTCCGCCTCAGTTTCCCGCCGCGTGTTAAATGCTAAGGTATTATTTGCACACCTAACTCATTGCTGATCTTCTTTCAGGGTGTTCACGTTGGGTGGACTGAAAGCCACAGGATAACCACAAGAATGCCTGTTGGGCCTGCGAACTAGTTCATCCAAGCACCTAACATAGCGTTTAACGCATTACGTTAAAACAAAGTATACAAAAATCATTCTGGCTACTCTCGCATATTTTTTTATTTGATTTTGAGACTTCGGGTGTGAAACAGTCACACCTCCCAGCGGACCCAGCCTGAGCACAACTTGATTTTCCTTGAAAACTCCGAATCAACTGCCTTTTCACCGCAATTTGAATTTTTCGTCAAAGAGGGTTTTGTGTGGAAGAAGCTCGCATATGCGTGCTAGCGTGTTCAGCGCCATTGCTAATTGATTGAGAATCAGTTCCAATTTTAATAAAGGGGTCGCCTGCCGAAGGCCACCACTGCCTTAGATGTAACGGACCATCATGATTCCTGCCTTCCGGAACGTAGCCTTCAACACCTCAAGCCTTCTGTATCCAGGCCGTGGGTCGAACCAGCCCTCGGTCGAACGGCCACTTGTCGAAGGACGATAAATTTTGGAACAGAACTATGCTATCTGAAACCTAACCTCAGATGCGGAAACCCATAATCATTTTTATTCTAACTTACGACAATGAAGGCTTGGGCATTGTTCACCGTCAATTACTAGCTTATTAGCCAATGCTCCAAACAACGCCTAAAAAAAGATGTTGCCACTAGCATGGACATAAAACTTTCTCTGAATATATAATCTTGTGTTTCACACGAGACAACTGGGTCTATGCCAGCTAGATAGGAATGGACGAAATCAACATTGAACTTGAGCACGGGAAATTTTGACCCATTTATGATTTTCACTGATGGCTTCAGCCCAATTTTTCCTGATCTAGGGCAGTATTCTCAAGTTGTAGTCTAATAGAATAATGGTGGTTACTAGTTTTAGTGGCTTCTATATGTAAAGCATGATTGATTGGGATTTGATCCAGTCTGTTAGCTTGATCAGTTCTAAATCTATCAGTTGATCAGCCCCGAACCTTTAGAACCGATATTTGTGCAGTTTTTCATAACTTAATATATTAACCTTCCTGGTACCATACGTCCACCTCAAGCTCGGGACGGTGCTAACCGCAATCCAGCTGGGTGCAAAGATTTAAGAGGATGCGCAGTATTTAGAACGGTATGGCCCACCGGACTGTTTGGTCCTTGGTGCATGTCGACCTGGTCTAGTTAGATCTAAACCAGATGGGATCCTCAACCAACATCTTTCTAGTCAGCGAAATGCTGCGGGCAGCCGGTTGTCTCTAGGACCGGCATTGAAAATTGAAACCCAGGTGACACCTGTTCAGCATGCACAAGGTGGCATACACTTGTAAGGTTTAATTTGTTTGCCTATTTGGAGTTTAGAGAGTATATTTTACGCAAGATAATTTGGTAGTAATAGATTTATTTAAGAGTTCTAAATTTTTTGGTAAAGCGCGTTTTCGTAGCTAGTTCCTGCAAGTAGCTCTTCTTTCGATTCGCAATAGATTTTCACGACGGCGAAAATTTAACATTGGAAGCGAGTAAAGCGACGATAGTCTGGTGCATACGAAGAAGCCAAACGGGCCCCCCGCAGGGAGATCGCCTCCCGCATCGCGGTGACTGACGCCATAAACGCCGTCCTCGATGCTCCACCAACGCCGATTGCATCGGCTGAGGCCTCACTCCCGCGCCCCTACCGTTCGGCGCTATCCCAGCTCCGCTTGGGATACTGCAGCTCGCTGGCGTCCTACTCCGCTAGGATCGGACGCTCCCCTAGCTCCGCCTGCCCGGAGTGCAGAGATCCCCTCCAATCGGTCCAGCACCTCTTCGCCTGCCCCGCCTTCCCCACGTCCCTCAGCGTCTCCTCACTGTGGGACAGCCCCGTGGAGGCAGCGGCATTCCTGGCCACCCTCCCTGCCTTCGCCCACCTCCCCCCTCTTCCGG